CAGGTGACGCCAGTGAAGCTGTTGTTGTACGTCTCATCTTAGTTTCTATTAATCAGCTGATATATACCATAGATTTATCTGAAAATGAGGAATCATCGCGTTGTCTATGAACTTCTCTTTACAAAATACCAGGATAAAAAAAAATAGTAATTTATTAAACATTGTTGAAAAGGTTCATTTGTTGAGTTTCTTTTAATGATGTTAAGTTTTCAAAGTCAAAAAAAAACGTGGCGACCCCTCACTTTGTATTCTTTCGAATGAGACTATTGAAAAACGAATTTTCATACCATTACCTGGTACTTGAAAGCTTTCCCATGTACTCCAATTATGAAACATTGATATATGGGATGTTTGATACATAGTTTCATTAGATATTTAAGTCACTATTCCGATTACGGTTATATAAACGATGCTGTTCCTATAGCTGTGAACAGTTATGTATTTGCGCTTGCACTGGATGAAATTTTGTACATTGGATTAGTTCTTGTTTTTTTTTCTATTTTGAAAATGCTTTTCTTGAAATATTGTAAATTTATTCTGTATGACATATTAAATACAACAAAGGTTTTAATTTTAAATGATAGCTTTAAATTCACGATAAATACAAATTGAAAATCTTATTCCTAAACGAAAATAGTTTTTGTTTTAAACTAACATTCAAATGTGTACGAAACTAAGTGCCTAGTCGATCTATTATAAAGCAAAACCTGAACATTACATTGGAATATAAGAATAAAGACCTGGATCTTCCCATTGACTATGACCAACGTTATTGCATTTCTAGAACAATTAGTTAGCAGGATGATAAAGAAGATGTATCCTATAATCGATAAAGTGGAAGTGTTGTTACACTATGTTTCACATTCTAATTTTATAGAAATTGCATTGGCACCTATTTCATTCGAAGCTCTTTCTCTTGTAAAAAGTCAATATAAAACAAAAAGAAATCTTTTTGATCACCATCACTCCTTTCTAAGTCATTAGGCTTGTAAATGAAAGTTTACTGATTATCTTATTCAGACATCACTGTATTGTGATGCGTTCTTAAGCTGTGAGTGAAAATCTGTAGTACTATAATAAAGATCTCATATACAATTGCTCACCAAAGAAGTAGAGATGCACAATATGTTAAACATCAATATCTTCTTCATTAGCATCATACCATATTGAAATACGTCAACTTAACAAAATTTGATCGATGTTGCTAACCTATAACTATAATCAATTATCAGAAGAACATTCTACGTTATTTGTTTGTCGCTTAAAGTAGAAATTACTTGCTCAGTCTTTGCTGGTACTTATTGGTAGCGTGACCTTTCTTCTTCCGAAAATGTTCATATTTTTTTTCTGACGATTATTGCACAACAGAACTTAATCCATTGACTAAAAACTCTGGTATCATCGCTACTCATACTCCATATAATATTTATTTTGTTGCTTTTTTCGTTTTTATTTCCGTGTTTAATTATTCACTTAACTACTAGTTTATCTTGTCGTATATATATAAATTTAATGAACTTAAACAAATCTCAAAATACTGTTTGATATTTCGATAAAAACAGAAAATCTTTTATTAATCATTGCCGAAAATTAAAACTTTATTATACCATACTTTTTATGTCGATTATCTGCTCACTATTATCAAATCAATGCACTAATAACTTTCGCCGTGAACTTCAACACAACTGTTTCTACATAACATTAAATCGTCATTTTCACGCTTTCAGCAAGGTCAATGGGTACAAAAAATTGAATTCCATGATCATTATCCGCGAACAACTTGCCTCAGCAAATATTAATTTACGTTCAACTGTTCTCCTAAGTATCATAATAAAACATTTTTCGAACAACTTGTTACAAGAGGTAAGAAATGGATCTGTCATGTGCATGTCAATCGGAAGGAATTAATCGTTTCGTGCTCACTAAAAACCATTATTCGAGGCAGAAATAGACTTGCACCGAAACAAGCCAATATTTTGCATCAGATAGAACATGAAATGTGTTATATAGTTTGAATTCTTAGATATCAGTAAGACAATTACTGGTGATGTCTATTTGCAACAATTGTATCATTTTTATTAAGTTCTTCTTAAAAGCAACCAAGTTTTAACCAATTGAATAGACTCCATTCTCATTCATAACAAAGAAAAACAATACATTTCAAAGTTCATTCAACAAAAAATTGAACGATCCATATGGGAAGTTTCTGCACACGAGCTCTAGTCAAGAGATCTTACACTATCCGATTATTATTATTTTCGGCTTTTTCAAAAGAATATGTGCGAGAAAACTTACAAAAACTTAGATAATTTCGATTACGAATTTGCTACCCTATTTTCAGATGAGAACCAACCAGTTTCTAGAAACCTGAGATCGAATAATTACAAGTAAGTTAAACTAATATTGTGTGAAATAATAGCAATAATAGTTCTGATTGATATTAGATATCTTTCTCGTAAAATATATTTACTATTAAACAAAACAAAATTAATCTATTTCATAGATTACTACTTATTACATATAATCATTTTCATCTTTCAAGGAATTTTCTTTTCTAACAACAGTATACAAGAGAATTATTTTCTATTGTTTTCTGCTGTCCTATATTTGAATAATTTTATTTTTCTATCTTTCAAAATATTTCTCCATCACTTACTTTCGCATAAGGAAAATATTCTTGTAGACAAGAATTGGAATATTTTGTTTTACCATATAAATATAATTTACTTATTTTGGTACAATTAATTCGTGTAGCATCTCTTGTGAAATCATGTGTTACTCGTTGTAAAGATTCATAATTGATATAGAGAAAAACATTATTTTGCAAATGCATTTTGGTATCAAATAGAAATTCTTTTATATAATCATCATGGACATCGATAATAACAAGCTCAACAAGAAAAGAATATTCAATAACAGATAAATTTTGATTATCATTGTTTGATTCATAAGATTATCTTCGATTCTTTGATTTATTATTTTGCAAAGATAGTTTTTCCATAAATGGAAATGATTGAACAATTCGAAGAAAACATTCATGTTCAAAAGAATGTTCATCATATAATGACACTACACGAACATATTGACATAATCCGCCTGGAAAATTATTTGTAATATCGCCATAATATGGCATCGACTGTGTTTTATCTCTGGAAAATAATCAACCCAATAAATTATTTTATTAGCTACAAAGTCAATAAATGTGCGTTGAATATCTTCTGTTGACGGAAAATTCATTTCATTACGAGTAGACATGATTGAGGAAATATAAAATGTAAATTGATTTAATCTTGACATACGATTAATAATGTTTTTCTTCAAATAGTCTCCATCAATCAATGTTTCATCAACTTCCACTGAAAAATACAAGTCGAGTTCTTCTAAATTTAACATTCGATATAAAAGTGGAAGGATTGTTTCATTATAATAATATGTTGCATAAACACAAGAGAGAGAAAAGCACTTTAGATTTGGTAAGTCGCCCTAAAAAACAACATTTCTTTTCTTATTTGATAAGATAGAAGTTTTTCTTGAAAAACTAACTTGATTTTGAATTTCATGAGGATGACGAAGATTAACTAAATCAACATAGAGCATGTGAAGTTCATTACAACGACTATCAAGAAGATGAAGACAATCATTAAAAGATTGTACTCTGATATTCAATTTCAAAAGAGTTGAAGAATGAAAATTAGGAAGAAGTAGCTCATTAAAATTTAATCGAACACATTTTCTATACGATGATTCATATAATGTTAAATAAATTAGATTGGTGAAAACAGTTAACATATAATCAAATATGTTTGCCACTGACTTTAGCATCATCCCATAATCGTTATTTTTATTTATTGGAATTAAAAGTCTTGTAATCTGATTTTTGAAAATACCAGATGAAAGAGTTTTATCTAAATATATTGTATATAATAATAGTAACAAAAAGAAACCTATGAAAATAATATTCATAAATTCAATGATATAGTCATCTTTATAAATAAGATTGGTAAATCATTCATTTATTTAGAATAAAAACAATTCAA